AACTGCATTGCTCACTGTACCAAAAAAAAAAGAAAAAAAAGCCCATTAAATTTCATACCTGACATGGAAGACCATTAAAGATTCATAATTGCAATAAAACTCTTTAATGGAATTTGAATTTTCATTGTAGTAATGCTATAATCAGCAGGAGCCTCATCTGAAGCCACAAAATCCATTTCAATAAAACCTTGGGAAGGTGGTACAGAGAGCCCTGACATGGGCTTTGCCAGCTGGTGTGGCTGGCACCTCCCCGCTCAGCACACCCATCGTGCTGTTGGCAGCTTCTCTCCCGACCACCCCTGGTGAGCCAGTATGGAGCTGCTGCCATTCAGCCATGATTCTTTTGGTTCATTTGTTTTCAGTTCCCTTCACCAGGTATAAATAGAGCACCTAATGTGTGCAAAGCAGGAAGCCAGGGGCTGAGAAGTTACGGAAGAGCTGGGAGGATGGGGAGGAGGCAGGTGGAAAGGTGGAGGATATGGCTTTGAGACACTCAGGATCGCGCAGGCTGGTTGATGGGGGACGGCGGAGGTAACCACGGTGTCTCGGAACTGCAGCTAACATTTACCGGGCACTTATGTTTGCAAGGTAGCCATTTCACCTGCTTTACATGTGTCTGTTCAGTAAATAGTCATTGAGCAACTGCCATGTGCCAGATCTGTTTTAGGTGCTGGGGATACAGTGAAGAGCTATTAACTCAGTTAATCTTAAGACCTATGAGGTAGGTACTGATGCTGCCCCCATTTTCCAGAGAATGTAAGGCACAGAGAGGGTTGGGAAGTGACCAAAGGTCACACACCCGGTAAGCAGCAGAGTCTGGAATTAGACCCCTGGAGTCTGTGCTCATAACCTCACACCAAAGGACCCTCCTGTAGTCCACACAACACTTTAGCAGTTGGTGGTCTTATTCCAGTTTTGAGGGAGGGATGACCTAGAGTAGTCACTGGGGGTCAGGAGTAAGAGTCACCCCCTCTGCTCGCCTCCAGGCCTGCCCAGCACTCTCCTTTGCTCCAAGAGCCTCCTCCCAGTGCTCCTGTGTCCACCTCAGATGCAAAGGAAGTGGGTTCCCACCAGTGGATCCCCTGGTGGTTGGTGAAGTTCAGCAGCAATCAGTATCCTGTTGAATTCCCTTCACGCTGTCCTCAGGGCGTCCCCTATCTGAGCCTGCGCTTGATCACTGTGGATGATGGAGGTATCGTTCCTCCACCTTAAAATGAAGGGCATTCCTGGGGCCCTCTGCTCCTCCATCACCCATGATAAATAGGCCGCCCTCGGTGACAAATACTATAAAAACACCTTTATTTGTTTATCCTCCCATGTCCTCCCCCTCGGCACCCGGCTATAAGCTGAGCAATATTAGACACTCCATCACACTTGGCACCTGTCTCTCCTTTCTCTGGGGCAGGGGGGGTGCTCGGATGAGTTGGGGGCATGCCGGTTTTTAGACTTTGTGGCCCTCAGCTCATCCCTGGCCTCCACCTCCCCATCTGTGGCAGACCCCTGGGAAGGCCCTGACAATCACAGAGTCCTTGCCTGTCACTTTGTGCCTGTTCACCCACATGTTGCGTAACTCAGAGCTGACTTCAGTGGGTGGGAGAAAGTGACATGTCACTCAGTAAGCAAATACAGTTCTTAGGTGGTTGTTTTATTTGGGGGTAAGAGCCAGATCAAGATCTTTAAAGCTGCCACTTCCTATCTCACAGGGCATAATCCAAAGGGAAAGGGGAGGTGAGTGGGAGTGAGGCTGAGAGAGCAGCAGTTTGGGAAGCACTAAATCAGCACCCTCCACCGCCCAACATCATTGCCCTCACCCTAGCGTTGCTAAATTTAACTGGCCTTAAATAATGAATAAAAAACACAGAATGCCCACTAAAATTTGAAATGCCAAGTAAACAATTTTTTTTAAGTATACTTACGTCCATAAGCATTTGGGACAAATATTTTCAAAGTATCTGTCATTTATTTGAAAATCAAGTGTAAGCAGGTGTCATTTATTCTACTTGGCAGCCTCCACCCTATGCCCCGCCTCCCCGAGGAGGGCCAGGTAGATGCTTATGGCATTGCATTGTCCCTCCCCAGGCTTGCACATAAAAGGACAACCTCTCAAATGGTCTCTTGGAGGCTCATTCCTTTCATTAAACTGCTGGAATGAAATTAAGTATGTGGGGAAGGTTAAAATGGGTCCCCTTGGCTTAACAAAAGGGAAAGCTATTGAAGGGATACTTAAGAAAATGGAGTAATCTGATGTAGTCCAGGGCTGTGGGTGGCAGCTGGGCACGTGGCAGTAGGGAGGACTCCACTGGGCAGAGGGCAGGAGGGAGTCACTGCCCGGGGAGGCCATTTAATGGCTTGGGTGCCCAGGCCCTGCGGACAGGCATTCTTCTCTGGTGTCAGAAAGTCCAGAGCATGGGGAGGCGCTCCTTTGTCACAGCTCTGCTTTCTGGCCTCTGGGAAGCCAGCCAGGAGGGTGGGCGGGAGGGGGGTCTGAGGCGAGGGCAAGTGGCACAGCCCACCCCTTCAGGGATCAGCATTAACTGAGCACTTGCTGTGTGCCAACCCCTGAGCCAGATTTTGAATTTCCTTTTGGTTTCTTGCCAAGAACAGCTGGAGCTGCTTACCTTTTCAGGAACCCCATTTCTTCACTAGGGTCTCAAAGATGCAGACAGAGAAAGGATGATAGATGAGATGGTGGCACAGGTAAAGGGAATGCCATTGGAGAACATGCCACTGACTGGAGAAATTTGGACAAGGACAATCCTAGCTAGCAGCCCCTTTTACTTTACACCTAAGGAAACTGAGGCACAAAAGCTATTGGGGGATTCTCTTGAGGTCACACAGCACGGAAGTAGCAGAACCAGACTTGAACTTGGGTCTGGCAGTCTTTGAAACTCTTAACCATAGTGCTTTGCTGCCTCCTGGATTGGGCAGTGAGGGGTGGTAGTGGTTGTGGTGGTGATGTCGTTGGAGGTTTTACATTAGAGAGGGATGTCATGAAAGCATAACGATGAGGAAAAATTAATCGGGTGCTAGGTCTGTGGCCAGTGTAGATGTTCAGGCACCAGAGGCAGGTGCTGGTTCTAGAACCAGGCTGTGGCGGGGGTGGTCAACTTGTGTGGGACTCACAGAAGGATCTACTTGGGAGAATAAAGGCAGAGTTGATTTGGGGGGCGGGCCTTCCGATCTGGGTGCTGCAGGCAGGACTGGGGGCACAGCAGCTCAGTGGCTTTGAACCAACAGATTCTAAGTGATACCTTGTGTTCCCAGGCAGAGCTCCCGACTGCAGCGCTTCTGCCTTGAGGCCAGCCTGACCTGGGGCTGCATCCTAGCTGTCCTCTTCTCGGGCTCTGTGACCACCAGCTATTTGCCAACCTCTCTGAGCCTTTCTTTTCTCCCTGGTGAGATGGGACAGCAGTGCTCCTACTTTATAGAATGTTGAGGACATTAAATAAACAAAATATGTAAAGGGACGATCTAGGTACCTAGTGCACCTACCTAGTACTTAATTCTTTGACCTTTGTTTTATCTGGAAACTGGAGAGCATGACCTCTGCCCCCATTCCAGATCTGTGAAAGGGTCTTGGAGATTACACCTAGGGTAAATTTGAGTGGCCACGCGGCTGCGTAGTTGCTGATAATGTAAGCAGCTGGTCAATAGTGGCTCAAAGTGGGGACTCCAGGCCAGTGTGTGTGCCAGTCCCCACTGGGCTATGGCAGAGACGGGGCTGGAGCTAGAGATAGACACCTGGCTTTTCTTTCATTTGTGAATTTTTTTGAATGCCTGCTGTGTGCTGGACCCTGAGGACACAGTATGGATGAGAAAACCAATTATAGTGTAAAAGCGGGCCCACCTTACACTCCGAGCAGCTTGGGGGCAGCGTGGTCGGCTGACCTAGTGGGTGTGCAGTAAAAGTGCCGAGTGCTTGGTGGGGGTACAGAAATAGCAGGCCTTCTCTGAGCCCCTCAAAGCTGGTGCAGGGGGAGATGGGAAGCTGGAATTTTTAAACCCCTTTCTGTACTGGAATCTCCCCAATGGCAGGTGAGGTGTTAAAGAAAAATCAGGAACTGATTTTTTCTCCTCCTTTTCTTCCACATCTTTTCTCCTCCTTTTCTTCCACATTCCCATTTGGCCCACCATTCTGAAATTTTCATTTGGAAAGTTCCCCCCTGGGGGGCTGAGTCTGTGCACCCACTGGCTGGGGAACTGGGGAGGAAGAAAGCAGTTGGGAATGATCATTAAAAGGCTGCCCTTGAAGGCCAAGGTGGCTGTGACTCTGGGCATTCCCTCCCTGGCCCTGGGCCTGTCTCCTGCCCCATGTGGAAGGAAGAGGAACATGCCCCATCTCACCCTCAGCCTCTCCTCCAGCCTCTCCTGCTTTTGTCACATATTGATTGTTATTGGGAGTCTAGTTTCCCCCCTCTATTTTTTATCCTCACATTTAAAAAAGTGTTATTATGTTATAAAATAAAACCACTTGCTTGCAAGAATTCAAGCTGTATATTATTGCTTTAAAGGGAGGATACTTTTCTTGTTTATTCCCTTTTTCTTGAGGAAATGAATATGTTGCTTACATTTTAAAAATGTAAAGATGCATGCTTGAGGTAAAAGTATCTACAACATAGAAGGAACAGAATGGACATGTCTTTATGCTTCTTACCTCCCCTTACCCTCATTTCCTCCCCCAACTCCTGCCCCAGTCTCAGATATGAGTTATTTAACAGACAAGGGGATCCTTGGGAATCTCCTTAGAGACCACCCCTCAAAGTCATTGCTAGGTGGAGGGAAGGTGGCCGTTATAGTCACAGGAACATGAGCTCAGGATTGGAAGGCTGGCTCTGCTGCTGACTTGCTGTGTGACCCTCAGGCATCCACATAACCTCTCTGAGTCTTGGTGACCTCCTTGGAAGGCTGGCCAGGAAGAGAACTGGAATCAGGGCTCTGAAGCATGAGTCTTGGACATGAGTTGGCATCCAGGTAACTGTATTGTGTGGTGGTCTTGGCAGGTTGGGGACCAAATTCTAGAGGTGAATGGACGGAGCTTTCTCAACATCCTGCATGATGAGGCCGTCAAGCTGCTCAAGTCATCCCAGCACCTCATCCTGACGGTGAAGGATGTCGGGAGGCTGCCCCACGCCCGTACCACTGTGGATGAGACCAAGTGGATTGCCAGTTCCCGGATTGGGGATGCTGCCATGAACTCAGCAGGGTCTGGCTACACTACTTGCTGAGCCCCAGGGTCATTTCTGAAAACCAGCCATGGCCCTCTCTGTCCCTCCACCATGTCCTCATCTGTAAAGATTCCACTGGCTTTTAGAGCCTGGGGGCCCAGCACCAGGGTCCCTTTCATTTGCACACATGACCTTGCACACATCCCTTCTCCTGTCTTTGCCTCAGTTTCCCATAGAAAGCTGAACTGCCTGCTCCAACACGTTTCTTCTTTGCCAGCAGGCAAAGTTTTTAACTTATTGGCCCTTAACTCCTAAGTCACTTAATTCTTTGACCTTTGTTTTATCTGGAAACTGGAGAGCATGACCTCTGCCCCCATTCCAGTTCTGTGAAAGGGTCTTGGAGATTACACCTAGAGTAAATTTGAGTGGCCACGCGGCTGTGTAGTTGCTGATAATGTAAGGTGTCCTCTGTGGGTTTTCATCAGCAATCTCAGACTGGTTGGTGGCTCCTGGGGCCAGACACACCCCAGAGCAGCTGTTTCTTGTTCTCATTCTCCTTCTCCCTTCCTCCTCCCTCCTCTTTCTTCCTCTCCTACCCTCTTGTCTTCTTTTCCTTCCTATTTTTCTTCCTTCCTTCCACCTGAACAGTATTATGCATTTTTTAAATAGCTGCCAACGTTTAAAAAGGCATTAGGTTTCCCATAAAAACACAGGATTTCTGGCTGCTTCTTTAAAACCAGGAATTCTGGCAGCTTGAGCCTATGCTTTTCAGGAAAATGGGGCAGGGCTTGAGGGCACCTGGGAGTCACATCTGGGCATCTCCATGCCCTCCTGGGCTTGGCCTGACCCTGACCCCATCTCAGTTGCCTTTTATGCTCTCCTCTCACTGCCTGCTCCTGTGGTTGGAAACAACTCAAAATGCCCCTTCCCCACCTCTTTGCCTGGTTTTAGACCTTCTGTCTACATGGTTAATGGTTAGTCGTGAAGTGGGAAGCCCCTCTGTCTGGGGTTTCATTTCCTGGAGTAGCCCCAGTGAGTGGAGCTGAGATTCTCTCAAAGCCTTGTTCCAATCTGGTCTTTCCCCCACTCTTGTTTGCTTGAACTGCTCAGACTCACGGCTGAACATGCTTATCTTTCTTTGTAGGTTTCCTGGGGCTCCTAAGACAGAAGGGACAAACAAGGTAGGGTGCGCTCTGTCCCTGGGGGAATTCTTCAGAGCTCGTACAGAGGGTGCTCTGGGCTGGGCCAAGCGTGACCTTGTTGCCTCTGGGGGCCTGCTGACTCTCTTCATGGTGGGTCCATACAGTCCCAGAAGAGCCACCAAGACCGGGCGCCCTCCCATCGGAGGTTGATGTAATGAGCAGAACAGGGCGGCCCTGCCCTCACAGAGGTCACAGCCAGGGAAGGAGACTCACAAACAAAGCAGACCTACACAATTACAGAATCACGAAAGGTGGTCCGGGCATGGAGGCAAGGTACTGGATACCGTGAGAGAATAGACACCTAATTTCAGTGCAGAGACAGGGCAGAGGCTCTCTGAGGCAAAGATGTAACATTTGGGCTGTGAACTGGATATGGACTAGAGGTTAGCCAGGACAGGAGCAGGAGGGCTGTGACCGAGTCAGAGGGCCCAGCAAGTGCCAGCACCCTGAGGTAGGAGAGGCCTGGCTTGCTGGAAGAAAGGAGTGTGGTGGGGGTTGCATTGACAGTAGTGGGGTGGGTGGGAACAGGATAACAAGGGGGACAGCCAGATCATATGGGCCATGTGAGTCTTGGCTTCTAACCTAAAACAATGAGATGCAGTTGAAAGGCTTTTTAGTTGGGGGGCAACACAGGTGATTTGTGTTTTTGTGAGAGCAACTGGCAGCTCTTCATGGGTGATAGGGAGTGGCAGTGGGGACCAAAGGGGAGAGCCCATGGGGCCTCAGACACAGCAGATTAGACAGAGGCAGTGCTGGGGGAGAGAGGAGGGTCTTTGTACAGATCTGAGCTTATTTGAGAAATAAAGTTACTATTATCCCTAGTTTACCAAGAAAGATAGCAGCGCCTAAGGAATGATGAGAGAACCCTAGTAACAGTGCTTGACTCTGGGTTACAAGGAACTGAGGCAATAACACAGGTAGATGTGCTGGGTAAGCAAATACAGCTCTTGGCAACCGTCAAGGCCACATATGTGGAGACACATGGTTAGGTCTCCTGCAGCTGTCCCTGGTGGCCCAGGCCTCGGGGGACCTCCTCATCCCTCTCCAGGGTGGTCGCTGGCTCCCAGGCCTCCATCTTCCTGTCTTTTAGCAGGGATTTTACAAGGGACCCGCCGGCTCGCAGGTGACACTGAGCAGCCTGGGGAACCAGACCCGTGTGCTGCTGGAGGAGCAGGCACGGCAGCTGCTGACGGAGCAGGAGCGCGCCACCATGGCCTACTACCTGGAGGAGTACCGCGGCGGCAGCATCTCCGTGGAGGCCCTGGTCATGGCCCTGTTCGAGCTGCTCAACACCCATGCCAAGGTTCCTGCACCCCTCCCTGGGCAGGGCCTTTTTGGGAGGCTCCACATCCTCCCCTGCTTCCGTCAGTTCCCCACTCCTTTACTGAGAACCCACAAGGCTCAAGCTTAAACTTCACCCTGAGCTGGGGACCACGACAGCCCCCTGCCCTGGGGAAGTCCACAGGCTCTTGGGGAGAGTCAATGAGCATGACAGAGGCCCAAACACAGTGGCGTCCGATGCTGGGAACATATTTACAATCACCCAAGTGGCTGTTGACAAGCCCTGCCCAGGCCCCCCCAGCCTGGAGGCATACATGAATGTGGATGGAGCCTGTCAGTCATTTAACAGACCCCTGGGGGGCCAGTGTGCTGAGGCCTTTCAGAGCCAGGCTCCAGGTGGGAGTCTCAGGTTTAGAAGCAGCACGAAGGAAGGAGGGATTAAATCCACATCCAAGGAGTGGTTAGTTTGGGAAGACAGGAATGCTGACCTAGTGGGAAGTGGGCAGAAGGGTTTTCGAACTGGCAGGCACAGCCAGGGGCTCTGTGGGGCATTCAGGGAGCTCAGTCATGTGTGTGCTGAGAGGTGAGGGGGAGGCAGCTCTCAGAGGATATGGCCCAGCATCCCAGACAGAGGTGCAGACCTTCTAGGACCATGGGGAGCTGGGGTGGGGGCTACGGGGAGGCCAGGGGTCAAGTCAGCATGCCGGTCATTGCGGGGAGAGGGGTTCACCCACCTGCTGATTGGCTACCTGCTGACAGCCTGCTCCCCCCTCACTCCCCGGCCTCCAGTTCTCGCTCTTATCTGAGGTGAGAGGCACCATCTCCCCACAAGACCTGGACCGCTTCGACCACCTGGTGCTGAGGCGGGAGATTGAGTCCATGAAGGCACGGCAGCCCCCAGGCCCCGGGGCGGGGGACACCTACTCCATGGTCTCCTACAGCGACACTGGCTCATCCACCGGCAGCCATGGCACCTCCACCACCATCAGCTCGGCTAGGGTGAGCTGTTCCTGCCCCGTTCTTGGCTTGAAGGCCAGCAGGGGAATTAAGATGTTGGAATGAGGCTAATCTGGGTCCGAACCCCAGCACCACCACTTCCGGGCTCTGTATCTGGCTTTCTGAGCCTCCGTTTTTTCACCTGTAAAAATTGCCAAGTGCCTACTGCATGCCAGGCAGGGGCTTTGGGAGACAAGGGGTGACAGATGGGACACTGCCTCCTATGCTCACAGTCTGGGGTGCTGGGCTGGGAGAGAAAAGTGAGAAACACAGGGAATGAGACAAACAGGAAAAATAGTGACAATCAGAGGAGGATCCATGAGAAGCCTTGACTGCATTTATGGTAGTCGTGGTGATTCAGACCTCCCAGCTCCCCAGAAAAGATAGATCTTCTCTCCCAACCCCAGCTGTCCTTCTCAGGGTGTCATTAGACCCCCAGAATGCCTGGGGGCAAATTAGTTCCAAAAGAGTTCTACAAGGAAAGGGCAGGGGATTGCCCTGTTATCCATCACGGGAGAGCACAGTTATTACCATTGTTGCAGTGGGAAGAGCCCGGAGCTTGAGAGTCAGGGGAACCTTTCCTGTCTTGGAATCACTCATCCCCACTGTCCTGTGGAAAAGTAGGGGAGTCACTTTTCTTAAGCACTGTTGCTTCCAAATACTGCACTGGGAGCTGTGATGGTGGAATCTCAGTTAAACTTGGAACAGACCGCTGTCCTGCCGGACAGGGAAGAGCACAGGCTCGGGGAGTGCAAGGATGTCCCTGGTTGCAGACACAGCTAGTTAGTGGCAGAGAGGAGTTTGGAGCCACCAGGCACCAGGAAGCAGACCCCACCTCCCAGCGTGACTCATTTTTCAATGTTGGGGCGCTGAGCTCCTGGGGAACTGCTCAACTTTCTACTATGACCATCTTGAGTCACCTTCATTATCCAAGAGTCCTTATGCCTTCCTGGGGTGAGCTGGGAAGCTGCGGTGAATTCTTCTAGGGCTCCAGATGTGGCTGGAGTGGAGGTGATGTTACACTGTGGGACAGCACATCACCTGAGGCAGGAAGAAGGCTGCCCCCCCCCACCCCGGCACTGTTGGCTCTGTGCCCACACTTCAGTGTGGCACCGTAGTGCTGAGCTGGCTTCAGGGCCCTGGCCTGAGGGACTCTTCCTCTCTGTTCCCGCTCCACTGAGATCAGTCTTGAAAATGCCTATTGGGAGTCTTCAAAAAGCCACAGGCCACCTCTGAATCCCCAAGTACTGCAGACTAATTCTGGGGTGGTCCCTTTAGGACCAGAGATGAGAGATCTAGGGGCGGGATGGTTGTGTTCTAACCTGGGAGACAACAGAGCTAGCTTTAAGTCCTGGCCTCTCTGGGCCTTGGTTTCCACATGGGTAAAGTGGTCCAAAGTGCTTGCTGGCTCTGGCTGCAGCAGCCTGAAGCCCTGAGGACAGGTCTTTTGTCAGGGTAGCTATGATGCCTGCTCCAGGCAGGAGTCCCAGCCCAGGGGTCTGCCCAAGGAGGGCTGCTTCTAGGTCCCTGCCCTGGCACTTGACCCTGTACTGCTGGAGGCACCCCCCTCTCTGTGGATGGGTCACACAGGAAAGCAGACCTCAGAAAGGTCATGGGATGACTTTGAGTAGGAAGTTGTAGGGCACAGATGGGAGGAGTCCCCAAGCTTCTGAGACGTGAACAGCGCTCTGGGAATCTGGCCGGCCAGGTAGCACATGCACATCAGGTGAGAATGGGTCAGTCCTGGGGAATCCTGGAGGGGATCCTAAGAGAATGTTGTACAGACAGGAGAGGCAGTATAAAAAGAAGATCACATCATCCCTTGGTGCCTCAGTTTCCCCACTTGCATTGGGGCAGTGATGCCTCTTTCCCCAGCTTGTGAGGACTGAATGAGAGAGCACCCAGGGGACCCAAGGGACTCCACTGGGGCCAGCCTCCCAGAAATGTTGTCCACGCCTAAACAGGTGTGTCCTCTGCCCTGCCCTAACCTGATTGGGAAACCACCCTGAGCATTCCTATCCAGGGCTTGGAAACTTCTGGAAAGCACTGAACTGACACTGACATTCTCCCTCAATCTTCTTTGCACCCTGGTGCCTTCCACATGCACAGCACAGAGCTCCATTCCCCAGACTCATCTTCCTGCCCCCAGGACTTGGGCTTCTCTGAAATCCAGGTCTTCTGAACAGGGTCCTCCCTCAGGCTCTGCCTCTCATGAGCAGGTGTGATCTTGAACAAGTCACTTCCCTTCTCTGAGCCTCAGTTTTTCCATTCACCAAATGGGAATCATGGCCCCAGCCCCAGTTGCTGGAAAGTCCCAGGGTTACCCCCAAGTAACCTGAAGGCTCCTCCGAAGGACAAGTACATTTTTGTGGGTACCCCTGGATTCCTTCCATGCAGGAGTGCTGGTCCTAGCCATGGGTGGTGTCTCCCCATCCCTGCTTTATTCCTGCCCAAAGCATTCAAAGTAAAAAGAACAGGCACTCACTGTGTATTTGGACTTCGTGTGCGTGCACGTGTGTGTTGGGGGAGGGGGGTTGCCGTGCCCACCCCAGCCCTGATATTTATTTGATGCATTTTTCTTTTTGCCTTTTGTCCACCCTTCCTCCCCAGGAGCGGCTGCTGTGGCTTATAGACCTGATGGAGGTACCGTCCTTCCTGCCGGGTGGGAAATGTGGGCTCCACTTAGTCAGGGATGGAGGTAGGGGGCTGCCACCCCTTACATCCACACCCAGCCTTGGTGGGGACATGGGGTTCTTCTTGGTATTCTCTGTCTCTCCTGTTGGCCGATTCTCCAGGTTTTCTCAGGCTCTGGAGTAAGAATGTTTTCTGTTCAAATCCCAACTCTGCCACTCCCTTGCTCTGTGATCTCAGAAAGTGGTTTCACTTATCTGAGCTCAGCTCTAGGGTCTGTAAAATGAGGGTGATAAGTTCTTTGATGTGAAGCTGTTGAGACCTCTTGGCCTTTGCAGATACCATAGACTCTGTCTGGGGTGTTGTTCTTCCTTCACAAGGCCTGGCTGTCTTCCTGTGTGGACTTCAGCCCGTCGCTTAGATGCCACCTCTTCCGAGAAGACTTCCCAGATCCTCTCCAGGGGGATGACTTTTAGTCTCTGGCTCCTCCAGCTCCCTGGGCTTTCCTTAGTCACTGTTCCAGCCCCATTATATTCTAATAATCTGTACACTGACCATGATGCCCCTTGCCCACAGACTTCTTGGTGGCATTGACTGTGTCTGGAGTTTCTGGAGTCACCATTGCCTCCCTAGAGCCAGCACAGGCCTGGCCCACACTAAGAAACTGAGCCTTTCTCCATAGTAACAGTCGCTGGCCTTTGTGGAGCCTTCTGCCTGGGGCTGTGGCATGCTTTCCACTTCTCTTTTCACCCTCCCAGTGAAATATGGTCCCCAATTTGCAGAGAAGAAAACTGAAGCTCAGACAGAGAAGTGACTTACTCAGGGTCGCTCAGCTCGTGACTGGTGGAGTCAGGATCCAAACCCAGGCCTGCTTGCCTCTGCGCTGGTGCTGTGACCTCAGCAGGCTGGTTGCAGTTCCTCCTGGAAGGAGCTCACCAGCTGTTCGTTAGCATCACCGCTCTGTCCTTCTGTCTATCTGTCTCCTCTTCCCTCCTTCCCTTCCTTCTGTGTTATGTTCGTCATGTGCTATGTAGAGTTCTAGGTGCTGGGAATACAGTGGCAAACAAAGAAATCCTTACCACGATGGACTTTAGGACACAAAAGGGATGGCAGATAGTATATAAGATAAATAACTGGAATACGCCATGTGTTAAGTGAAAAGTGCTAAGGCGAAAAATAAAGAAGTGGGGGAATGTGGGGAAGGATCTGGGTGGTCAGAACTGGCACCTGAGTGGAGACTTGGGAGAAGTCAGGAAGAGAGCTGTGCCCACAGGGAGATACCATAGACTCTGTCTATGATCGAGCCATTCAAACTGGGAACAGCAAGTGCAAAGGTCCTGAGGCAGAGCATGCCTGGAGAGTCTGCGCCAAGGCCCAAAGGCCATGGCTAGAGAGGAGTGAGTGCTGGAAGGCAGTGGCAGGCTGTATGCTAAGGACTTTGATGGGGACTCAGGGTGAGTTGGGAGCCACTGGCAGGTTGGAATAGGGCTGACATGGTCTAACTTAGTGGAATTTAATAGGATGCCCCAAATTTTGAGAATAGATAGAGTGGGTATGCACAGAGATGTGCGGGTTCATCCCCTGGAAGGCTATGCAGAGAGATGCTAAGAGATGGGATGATGGCCTCTGCGGCACCAGCTCTTCCTGCTGCCTGGTCAGCCCTGGCCTGTCCCCTCCCTGCACATAACACAGCAGATCTCAGGCTGGACACCCCAAGCTGCCTACATGTGGGGCTGCTGGACAGAAATCTCCTCCTTTTGGAAGCCCTTCCTGTGGGAGTGTCAGGCACCTGGCCCCATGTTTGGGGTCAGGAGTTCCATATTTTTCCTCCAGGCAGTGTGTCCTTGGAAAAGCCCTTCTCCCACCATTAGTCTCCATCTCCTCTACCCTGAAAATCTTCTGGGCTGGGAAATGCTGGAAAGTATTGCCAGGAAGGCACAGCAGGAGAGTCAACTGTGTTCACATCCCTTCCCCGAGTACTTGAGCAAGGCCCACAGCTTCCTTCAGAGAGAGAGCTCCAGGGAACATTTATTCACACTGAACGCCAGCCTCTGGCCCACGCTCCCACTGCTTGTTAGCAAGCCTCTGCTGTGGTAATGCTGAGTAACATGGAGCCCCTGACAGTCTGCTGTGCAACTGCCCAAGACATGTCTTTCTCACGGCCAGCGACCCTCCCCTCCAGAGCTCATGGGCCTTTGCTATGGCCATCAAATGCCTGCTGCGTCGCTTTAACCCTTCAAAAGTGTCTTCCTAAGTGAACAGGGAGAGCTGGTGGGGTGCAGGCAGGGACGCCATCTTTCTCCTGTGTCCCAGTGCTGACCCAGGGAATGTGGAGCAGACACTGAATTGAAACCACACTCCCTAGCAACCCTCCTGGTTATCTCTAGCGCTCTGACCTTCTAAACATTCTCCTCCCACACGGTTGGAAAATGTCTCTTGCCCTGGCATTTAGACTGCAGGTGTCAGGCTCTGGTGACCCAGATGCCCCAGACAGTTGCCCTAAATGAAGCCAGTTTTCCATTTAGCCCAAATTCCTGGACCTGGCTGCACGTTTATCCACCACAGGTTAAAACTGCCTTATTCTGCAGCCGTCTCCCCTCAAGCCAGACACAATCGATCACAGGAAATCAGCTGCAGCCTTCTCCATCAGCTGATTGTGTTTATTTCCCATTTGTATAATAGAGAGTCAGCGCTGGGTAGGCTTTGTGGCTGCCAAACAATATCCTGCCCCCCTCCCCCAATAAAGATGTCAGCTGGAGAGATGAGTGAAAGAAAGATCTGCCTACATTGCTTGAATTCTTCATCTAGTATGAGCAGGCTATGCTGGAAGGGTTTGCATGCACAGGATTTGGGGTCCCATGGGCCAGGATTGGATCTCCCAGCTAGTAGCCATGTCTTCTTCGGCAGGTGATTTAAGCGTTTGGAGCCTCACTTTCTGCATCTGTACACTGCGCTGATCTGCCCCACCTTCTGTGGGTTGTGTGAAGATCCACTGCAAACCAGAGTGGACTTGCAGGTGTGGGGTATACGGGAACCTGGAAAGGATATCACACTGGTGCCTACAGAGGTTGGGGCTCAGACCATCCTGTCTCCCCAGCACGGCTGTCATAGGTCATAGGTGACCCCATGATCTCCTGAGGCTCCTATGGCTGAACCCCAGGCAGCTCCTCAGAAGGTTAGGACTCTACCAGGCTCATGTTGCAGTCTGACTCCCCATCACTTCATCTTCCCTGAGGTGACCTCACCACCATTCCTGGCCTTGCTCTTATCCTTCCTTCTCTCTCTTTGTTCTCTGCTTCCATCTTTCTCCCAGATCCTTTCCCTTCTCTTTCGCTCTTGTTATCCTCACTCTGTGGTTTCTAACCTCCCTCCCTACGTCCTCTTGCTTTCTCTCAGCAGCCCCAAGGAAGAAATCAAGGTGACCCTCCAAAAGTCTCTGTGACTCATGCCTCAGTTTCCCCACATACAGAAGGGCAACTTCCGGCCTCTTGTGCATTTAGGGCAGTGGTGAAGGGATTCTGTTGTCCTGACATAGGAATGAAAAAGCAAGAACAAAGAGCCGAAAATAGCACCTTTATGGAATAAGGCATGGAGGCCTAGAACAGCCTGGGAACTGGGCTTTGGGGGAGGGGAGGGAGAAGGGGCCTTATCTTGCTGAGGTGGGCCATCTTGCTTGCTCCCCTGGGCTGCAGGAGGCCTTCCAAAATTCCACACCAGAAACCACACCTTAGCATTTCATTTTATTTTGTCCCCCCAGACTCCTGAGATATTCAGGTCCTAACTGAGCCAACTCAGACATCAATGGGTTCTTTCCTCTGAAAGGAGAGGGGTTTCTAAACCTCCCCAGACTTGAGGAAAGAGAGGGGCGCACAATGGTGGCAGCTTCCTGCCCGCCCTTGTGGTGTGACCTTGGGCAGGGGGCCTTCCCTCTCTGAGCCCCGGTCATCTCAGCTATGGAGCAGGTGAAGGGTCCCCCCTTACAGGACTCACTGAACCTCCAGGACTAACCCTCAGTTGGGCTCTGACTTCAAAGGGTACAAGGGGAGGAGGCCCTCAGGGATAAGGGTGGGGGTGGCCAGGACATGGGGGCCACTCCTGTGTGAGCTCTGACCTTGGTCCTTCTCTCGAAGCCTCCTCGAGGGTTTCTGCTGACACATCCCCTGGGTTCTTAACCTGCTGTCTGCAGCTATTTCAGATGCACAAGGAACATGGCTCAGGACTCGGGGCTCCTGAGCGTCTGGATTTAGCAGATGGAGTGTGGCAGGGCTGGGCTCCGGCCCGTCTGCCATTTGCTCCACTTCAGGCCTCCCTCTCAGAGCTAGATATTTGTCCCCGCACCACCTTCACCATCCCCACCTCCCATCCCAGCCTTCCGTCAGTTCTGGAATGCCAGTAAAAGCAGACTTTTGATTCCATGACCCTCTGGTTCTTATAGTACCCAGACCCTATCCAATTCTGGGTCCCAGGTAGGACCGTTTGGGCTTAGGGGTCACCCTGATCTGGGCAAGAAGCCTGATTGGATGAAGAATGGCTGTGTGACTTGGGGCAAGTCACTTCCCTCTCTGAGCTTAAATGTAAAAGATGAGCCAGGGAACACAGTCAGTGTTTCTTGACTGAGGTCTTTGGGAGAATCAAAATGATCATGGCATTTGCCTGGCAGGGACCTGACACTCAGTAGCCCCCTCGATCCCCAGATTTTAGTTCTCTGATCTCCTTTCCAAGATAAAGTCCTACCACCCTATAGTGCATAGCAAAGACGTGCTTGTGTTGCCAGGTTCTGGATCCTTCCTCTCCCCCTCCCGTGGGCCCTCTTACAACTGCCAGCACCATCAGTGATTCTGAACAGGAGTTTGTGGGCAGCTGCTGTGTGCATGGCCTTCTGCTGGATGTTGGGGACACATGGACCTGCTCATCTTTGTATCCCTGTGAGTTTTCCTCATCAGCCAAAGCTGCCTGGTTAATGCTTGCAGAGCAACTAAATGAACACTGAGAGCTCCTGGCATGCCAGACCAGGGCAAAATCCAGTAACCTTGGTCTCATCAGGGACTGTCACCGGAGCCTCCAGGGTCCCTGCAGGTTGAATGCCTGGGCAGGGGGCAGTGGCTCCATGTGAACGCTGTGGCCTCCCCTCCCCAACCAGGCCTCAGGCCCCTCTGGGGTGTGGCCAGAACTTTGCCCAGTCTTGGGAAGTGCTTGCACTAAGCGGCCCCGGCTTACTACCCATCCTGACCTGAGCGGTCTGTGTGGCCAGCTGGACCATGTCCAGGGAGCTCTGGACTCATGAGGGTTTTGGAGTGTACGGGAGTGCTGCGGTTTCTTCCCCACTGAGGTGTCTCCACTGGCTGGCATGTTGGCAGTCATCCGGTTGCTGACATGTGCAAGGTCCTGCCACTCCCTTCAAAGACTGTGCCAGGTTCTAGGTCAGTACATCAGCCCCATGAGGCAAGTACTGCTCTTATCCCATTTTGCAGCTGAAGAAACTGAGACTCAGATTTGCCCACCATCCCTCAGCTGTAAGTGGCAGAGCTGGGCAGGACCTCGAGGAAACCCGACTGATGCCATTGGTCAGTGGGGGAGAGCGCCTCTCTCCGGGGACCTCTGCTGTCTTGGCATGACTAGGGCTGTTGGCAGCGTCCTTTCGTGAAGCAGGGCTGGTTGCAGGAGATAGGGTTGGAGGGAATGGGAGGCAGAGGGTGGCACAGAAGGTTTCCAGATCAGGAGCACCCAGCATCTTGTTGGTCAGTGGGTTCCCTTGACAGGCCTTCGTGACCCCATGCCCTCTGCTTGCCTCCCAATCTTCACGCTTCCAGGACATTCAAGCCGGAATCAGTGTGGAGTGACCTGGCGGTGTCTACCCTAGGGGTACGGCGTTGTGGGGCACCTTCACACCCCACTTGCTGCCTCACTCTTGTCCGAGCAACTCTCCTGCTTTTCAGGATGCCTTGCCATTGCCACCTTGCCCGACTGCCTGCTCAGGCCTTCACCCTGTCAGGCCAGAGAGACTACTGGGCTCATGAATTGGCTTAGTAAACACCTAGCAGCCACTGTCCTGAACACTGAGGCTGGAGGAGGGGCCTGCCATCACAATTCCTGTCCATGGGGCTCTCCTAGGGGGAGCAAGACAGCGAGCAGGCCCATCTCGCGGCAGGCTATGCTGAAAGTCATACAGAAAATGAAGTAGGGTTGGAGTAGCCAGAGGTGGGTTTGTGGGAAGGGTATGCGTATTTGCATACTTTTTTAGACAGGGATGCTCCAGGAAGGCCTTCCTGAGGTCAGAACTAAATGAAGTGAGGGAATGAGAGAGGAGCACTGTGAGGCAGGAAGCTGTCAGTGCAAAGGTCCTGGGGCAGCAGGAATATTCCTCCCTCTGTTGGAGGAATAGTAAGAAAGGGCCCAGTCAGTAGGTGCCACGAGTGTAGGATTTGGAACTCCCTCCAAGTAAGATGGAAAGACCCTGCAGGGTTATGAGCTGGGAAGAGGCATTATCTGACTTAGGTTTCAAGGATCACATCCTGTCTTCTGAATATTGATCCATACAAAGGGGGGAAATAAAACAGCGTGGGGAGTGGAGATTGTCTGAGTAGGGGGTGTTTTTTGAATAAGGTTATGAAGGAGGTGAGGGCACATGAGGCTATGCCTTATGGATGCCCAAGGGGAAGAATATTCTAGGCAAAGGGGACTGTCAGTGCAAAGGCCCTGACATGTCTGCATTGCTTCAGCATGGCTGGAAAGGAAGTGAGCAAAGGGGATAGTCACTGAAGAGAAATTTGACCATGTCTCCATAGCAACCCACTGCCCCCAGGCTCAAGTCCAAGAAGCTCCCCGATTGACTCACGTGGAGCTGCTGGAAGATTCCCAAACATCCTCTGTCCTTCCCGTTTTATGCATGCTCTTCCCTCTGATACATTCATCATTCCCTCTTACTCAGCTCACCTATAAAACTCAGCTTTATACAGTGCCCCCTCCTCCAGGAAGCCTTCCTTGATAACCCCTCCCTGCTTGCTTTATATGCCTGTGTTCCCTCACTCTCTTCAAAGACTCCTGCTTGTTGGTGCAAGCAGGGGTGGTATTTCACCCCCTCTGTGTTCCCAGTGCCTGGTCAATCCAGAGGTTTGAGGGTGTCTGTATTGATTGCTGTCTTTGAGACTTGGTATTTGTCGGGGAAACTTATGATCCAGGCCTCAATGGGGTGGGGAGAAATGGCAACTGAGCCCTTAAGAGCCCAGTTTAGATGGCAGTACTGCTTGGCTTCCCAGAAATGGCCTAGAGGTAGCAGCTCAGTGTCAGTTGAGGGAGCACTAAGCTTCTGGTGAGTTAGGGAAGGAGGAGAGAAACGGGCATTTGTGCAAAATAAGGCCCATTTAAACCTTCACCACCCTCTTCAGGGTGGAAACCACTAAAATCAGGAGACTTTCTCCATCCACTTCTCATTTGCATCTTGCCATTCCACACCTTTCTGGGATTCTGACAGCGAGCAGTGGAGGGGAAGGGGTTGAAAGAATTTCCAGACAAGGCTGGAGACACCCCATAGTATCACCAAATAGTCCAGGGGAGGCCCAGGCAGTCTCAGAGAAAGACTGATTTCAAAATGGGCAACAGGAAAATTGACATGAATTTTATGGCCTTAAGTGAATTCTGCTGGAATGTGGCTTGTCATGAGTCACATAAATCACGTGAAGGTGTTGCTGGACCCATAGATTTTGGTGCCCTACAGAGCAAACCATTTTTTCTCCTCTCAGCTTATATTTCCTCCCATTGTTTTCCTCTCCATTTCTAGAATACTCTGGACCTGGAGGAGACTGGTGAGGCTGTTCAGGGCAATAGCAGCACCCTCCCAGATGTCTCACTGGTAAGACTCTCTCTGGCCCTTTCCTGGGGTTTTGCTCTGTGCTGTCTACCTGAAGCCTGAGGTCTGGCTCCTTGGGGAGGGCCAGAGACCCTCCCTGTGAGCTCTTAGACCCGGCCTCAGACCTGTGCACGGGTGTGACACTGCTGTCTCCAGCGGAGGCCAGGATGGCTGGTTCTGGAGATCTTAAGTGGAGCTGTCAACCTGTTTGACTGTTGGCCAGGTTGGTGTTTGTTTTTGATATGTTATCTGAATGAGGTTTTCACAGTTGATGCTGACATCTGGGGCACGTGGCAAGACTCCCCTAAGAGGCTTTGGGATGGCGCTAGGAATGCAGCCTGAGCAGCTACATTGTGATTTGTACCCCAGTGATATTCGAATGACCTGGGCTCAGGACCCCATTGCCTGGGTTCACATCCCACCTCTCCCACTAACTGTGTGACTTTGAGCAAGTTTCTCAACCTCTCTGTGCCTTGGTTTTCCCAACTATAAAGTGGGGTGGTGGGCCTTCCTGGTGGCTCAGGGGTTAAAGTCTCAGTGCTATCACTCTATCGCCAGGCACTGCAGCAAGAGCTCAATCCCCGGCTAGGGAGCTGACCCACATGGTTCAGTAGATCTCTCCTGTCTCGCCTGCTGCTCCCCTCAGCAGTGTGTTTCAGTCAGTCTGCCTGTTCTGTTCCCCACTCTGTCTCTGGTGAATCCTCTCACATTCTGCACCTCTAGCATACACCCAAGTTCTTCTTTGCATAAATAAATAAAAATAAATCTTAAAAAATAAAGTGGGGTGGTAATGGGATTATTTATCCTGTAAGTCTGTGGCCAAGGGAAACAGAGCTCATGTAAATAAAGCATTTGAAACAGCATCATCGGGGCCATGCTGGTGTTGCATGTGGGCTCAGACTGAGGGGAATAGCGTCCGCTGCTGCTACTCACCCGAGCAGCTGCAGAGTCCTTCGCTAAGGCATTGTAACCCTCCCCTCCCACATCAGCTGGGCTGGGTGGGCACAGCTTTCCTCGAGCCCAAAGGCACACTTGAGACATGCTGTGCCTTGTGCACGGCCACACAGCACCCCGGCCTCTGTCCTGTTGATTCTCACTCCTTCTAGACGCCCCTTCTCAAGAAGCCCAAATAATGCCCCCAAAAGGAAAGTCAAAGACAAAAGGCCTCCCTTTTGTTTTTCCATCCTCTGCATCCCACCTCTAATTAAGTCTTGCTCCCCGTGACAAGTCTGGCTGATGCCAGGAACTTCGGTTCCCAAAGGTAACGGTGCCCTCCCCAGAGACGCCCGCCAAGATCCAGATGCTTATCAGCGGCTGAGATGCTAGGAGAAGTTTTCCACTCGGGCCCTGCATTATTCAGAGCAGCTCAGCTAAGAGCCAAGGGAGCGAGGACAGAATTCCAGCTGGGGCCTGGCCTGCTCAGCTGCCGTCTCCGCTCTTCCAGCCACAATGGGCTCAGACTCCTTCTATTCCTGTTGGGTCTTTTGGCAGGATGATGTCAAGTCCACCTCTGAGGGGTTGCCTGGCTTCAAGCCACCACCTGCACCACCTCTGGGCCCCGGCCATGACCGCCTGCTCGCCCAGACCAGGAAGCCGGGGAGAGAAGACCTCCAGCCGCCTTCTTCCGCGTCTTTGCACTCGGGCATCGTCTTCTCTGCACCCCAGAACTGCAGCCCTCCAGTGGGCACCCCACCTGCCTGTGGGGCCTCCTCTGCACAGGACTCTCCCTCCTCCCCCATCTACGCCTCTGTCTCGCCAGCCAACTCCGGCTCCAAGAGGCCGCTGGATGCACACCTGGCCCTGGTCAACCAGCACCCCATTGGCCCCTTCCCAAGAGTCCAGTCACCCCCGCACCTGAAAAGCCCCCCTGCTGAGGCCTCGCCGACTGGAGGCTGCTGCCTTCCACCACCCTCCCCCTCTGGCCGCCCAGACCAGACTGGCACAAACCAGCACTTTGTCATGGTGGAGGTTCACCGCCCCGACAGCGAGCCCGACGTGAACGAAGTGAGGGCACTGCCCCAGACACGCAGTGAGTACCCAGTGGCGCTGGGGGCTGGAGGGGGAGCTGTGAGACCCTGGGGTCCCCGGCCCCTGAGTCCATCCACCCATTGACACAGTGAAGGTGGGACCCTGTGCTTGCCTAAGGAAGGGCCTTCTAGCCCAGAGTCGGAGTGACTGGGGCGGGGTCCTGAGCCCCACTGAAGGGCTTTGGAGTCAGGGTTGGACTTGAATTCTGGCTCTGCCATTTTCTGGCTGGACAACTGTGGACAGTGACTGTGGACAGGTGACTGGACAGATGTGTGCCTATCTAGGCTCCTTTCCCATTGTAGGACACAGGTCACTGGGTAGGACACAGTGGCAGCCCCGCCAGCTCGCTCCTCCAGTGCCCACCCCCAACCCTGGTTACCCTGCATTCACCTAACTGTCTTCCCAATAAAATTAAGTTTGTGGAGGGCAACATGATTTCTGTCATTTCTGCCTTCAGGTACTAAGGAAAGGAGGTAGTTGAAATTGCAGTCTCTGGGTCCTTGGGATCTTCTGACACAGCAGCTGCAGAATTAAGGGACAGGATGGACCTTTGAGACACCTGGAAGCCAGCCTGAGGCAGTAGCCCCAAGTTTCCAATGGCTGTCCAGCTGAGGAGGGGAGGGGGGGAGATCCAGCTTAGGCTCCCTGAAAGCCTGCCTGTGCCCTCAGCAGCTTCTGGGTCTCCCGCTCCTCTTAACTGGTGAATTGGGTTCATTTTGCTGGAATCTGTTGCCATCTTGTGGCCACAGTAATACACTAGGCCCTGCTGTGGCCAGGGAGGGGGAGGCCAGGACAGGAGACGTTAACAGTGCCTGCTGTGTGACCAGCAGGGGGCAGACTAGGATGCAGAGTACAGGGTCCTGTGCCCAGTGGCTTAGTGAGGGCAGGCAGCTGAACAGAGAGCAGGCAGCTTTTGGAGAGAAACTGAGTTGTCGCAATCCCTGGTCCTACCTCTAGACCCGGCACTGGGCTGGACACACTGATCAGAGCAATAGGGTCCTACACTTCTTTCCTTGGGCTGGGTCAGTAACTCACCTAATCCTCCAAACAGCCTGACGAGGCTGGTGCTATTATTACCCCCTTTTCACAGATGAAGAAACTGAGGCACAAGACAGTAATTATGGACCCAGGCAGCCTAGCTATCTCTGTTCTTGGGACACCTTCATTCCAGACATCGTGCGTGTTAGTCTTCATGGCTGGGCATCATTGTTCCTGTGTTAGAACAAGACCATGGAGGCTCAGAGAGGCTGTGTAAATTGCCCAGGGGTGCACAGCTGTTTAGGAAGGATTCAGACCTGACTTGTCTAGCAATCTGCCAGACTCGAGTGTGTGCCCTTTACCCAGGGCCTCAAACTCAGGCCATTACTTAAGCACATAGTGAAGCAGCTTGAGTTTAGCCATGAACCAGAGGGCATCTGCCCACCACTCAGCTCGGACCCATCCTGGTCATGTAGGGATACAGACCTGGCCTGGCAGACCTCCCATTTTTTTTTTCTCTAGACATTAGAAATTTAACTTTTATGTGAAATCTCCTAATTTGAATGTATTTGTCCATCTGTAAGATTTGACAGTATTAGGTGAATTAAAAAACAAAAGCCCTCCTCCGTGGGCTGGGTTTATCCCATTAATCAGTATGCTGGGCTACTCAGTGTAGACGTCCTGGAAGTGGTGGCCTTGGGGCCACTGCATTAGGATTCTGGAGGCCTTCTCCACTGACACTGGCAAGCACAGGTCTCAGTAGGTGGAAGGGTGATGGGAAGTCTCTCAGCTCTCCAGCCCCAGGATCCCTTCATTCCTTCTCCATCTCTGCCTGGGTGTCTCGCCTATGTACCTATCACCTCCTCCAGGAAGCTCCCCCTGACTCCAGCTGTATAAACCATATTCTTCTCTTGTCGCCATCTTCCAGCAGCCTCTACGCTCTCCCAACTCTCAGACAGTGGGCAGACCCTCAGCGAGGACAGTGGTGTGGACGCAGGCGAGGCAGAGGCCAGCGCCCCGGGCCGAGGCAGACAGATGGCATCCGCCAAGAGCAGGAGCAGCAAGGAACCACATCAGAATGAGAGGACTCCAGAGGGGGCCACCAAGCCGGTGAGCACAGAGGAGGGTGCAAACAGCTGAGGGAAAGACAGGCCCCCAAGAGAGAGCGGCAGGCCCCCCACCATAGTTCAGCTTGATGAGTGGCCACAGACACAGTGAGTCCCCATCACTGAAGAGACGTGCGTGTCCAGAAAGACCACAGCATTAGGATTCTGGAGGCCTTCTCCACTGACACTGGCAAGCCAAGTGCTAAAGGTTGGTCTTGAGAACCTTTAAGTTCTGCTCTAACGTGGTCTGGTAGTTGAGGCAGCCAGGCCTGGATTCAGATCCTGGTGCCACCATCAGGCAACCTTGAGAAGCCACTTAAACTCCTGAGCCGCTGGTCGATTTGTAGAATGAACAAGATGAGGATCCCAACTGTAGCTTTGCACCTGGCCCATTCAAGGCACCCAACATGGGGTTGGGGTCTGAGCCCCTCTGACCCAGAGGCATGTCATGGCCAGTCCAATCCCACCCCCTGGCCAGACCTGCCGCTGAGAAGGCCTGAGTCAGTGTCTCCTTCCACACATCCACAGCCTGGACTCCTGGAACCCACATCTACCCTGGTCCGCGTGACGAAGAGTGCAGCCACTCTGGGCATGGCCATCGAGGGTGGTGCCAACACCCGCCAGCCCCTGCCTAGGATCGTCACAATCCAGGTACATCCCCTAGGGCCCTGCCTGATCATCCCTCCCTTCCCTCGATGGCCCCTTTCTCAGCATCCCTGGGGTTTTCAAGCCCCAGAGGTGACAATGCACCCAAGGGCGGACCCGGGCTCAGATCGCCCTTACTATAGCTTAGCCTCAGTTTTCCTGATCAAGGCAATGGACATTCAGGTTGCAGCTGCCTGCTTGGGAGTGTCAGGCCTGGCCTGACCAGTGGGTGGTCAGAGCCTAGCTGGCTGCGCCCTGAGATGCCCCAAGTGCCCTGTGTCTCGCCCCCTGCAGCGAGGTGGCTCGGCCCACAACTGTGGGCAACTCAAGGTGGGCCACGTGATCCTGGAGGTGAACGGGCTGACCCTGCGGGGCAAGGAGCATCGCGAGGCCGCACGCATCATCGCAGAGGCCTTCAAGACCAAGGAGCGGAACTACATCGACTTCCTGGTCACCGAGTTCAATGTGATGCTCTAGGGGCCGAGGCCCGAGGGCCTCCCACTGCTGCCCGGCCCTTGGTCACAGTCCCTCCTCCCTCCTAGCACCGTTAAGCTCCTTGAGGGCCTGGGGCTGCATGGCCAGGGTAGCAGGAAGATGTACCCCCACTCCCTCCCGACCCACGGACCAGACCTGTAGAAGAGAGTCGGGAGAAGCAAACAGGGGTCAGGCCTGGATCTTGTATGCTGCCCTGTACTCAGTAGGCGCTCAATACTACTGTAGGTTGTGTGAAGATGAAGGACAGGGTACCTGTGTCTTGACATGTTTACTGAGGCCTGCCAGGGCCTGTTATCCCAGGTTGGATGTAGGGGGCATTGGTGCCCCCCCCCCACCCATCTGTTAGGACCTGCCCAATCCCAGATACCTGAGCCTTTTTCTGGAGTGAGGTCACAGAAGAATTCGTGGGCCTGGCCCCCATCAGGGGGGCATCTTGCAGGACCTTTAGTGCCACAAATAAGCATCAAGCACTATCCCCCCATATTCCCTTTCCTCCTGATTCCTTACCCCTCACAATATTTATTTCCCAAGGACCCAGCTTCCCACACACCCCAACCTTTCCCAGAGGCCTTGCAGGTGACCAGCAGCGTCAGTGTATTTATATACAGAGCTTATGACTTTAATTTTTCAATAAAGAAATCTGAACAAGGTTAGGGGCCAGCGTGCGTGTGACCTCCATGTGTGGCAGGGGTTCCGCGTGGGGTGGGTAGGACAGAGCACTGGACACCAGTGTCCTCTACTGCTGTCCTCCAAGTACAGGCTGGGACACAAGGCTGCCTGGAGGGTTTGGGACCTCACTTGGGCCACACCACATCCTGGAGTGTCTTTATCAGTGGTTCTTCACAGTTAATGCTTTCAGATAGGAACACACAGTTGGGGGATATGGGGTGGGATGGGGTGCACAGTGTGCTGTGTATTTTAAGATACAGAGAATAGGCCTGTCTTAGAAGCTGACTCTGAAGTGAGGATTGGTATGCCAGTGACTCCTTAGGGAAGTGCTCACAGGGAGACTGATTCTGTGTGTGTGTGTGTGTGTGTGTGTGTGTGTGTGTGTGTGTGTTTCCTGGCATGTGAGTTAGGCCTGGTGTTGTCCACACTCAGAGCAAGAGGACAGGTCTTTCATTGCTGCCACTCTCAGAACAAGGCCTGGTGGGGAGGCCATAATTTCCCGATCTCTGTCCGCTCCTCCTGTACAGGTCAGTCTATTTCAGAGGCAAGGGCAGTCAGTGTTTGAAGCAAAAGCATGGGGAGGGGATGAGGAGAAAGGTGGCAAAAAAGACCACTCCGTAGCCTCCGTGCCAAACCCAGTGCCAATTTCCTACTTCCCCCGGTTCCTCTGGGGCAAGGCAAGGTTGAGGAGTAATGCCTTGCCTGGCTCTGTGTCCCAGGGTCTGCCATGGTGGGTTAGGGGACAGTTGATTCCACAGACCTGCACCAGCTCCAGCTCTTAACTGTTCTCATCAGGATCCCGCTTCAGCCCTGGGAAGACAGGCCAGAACCCAGATTCCATTTCACCTCTGAAGCAGCCACATCCCTGAGTGTCCCACCCCTCCCAGGGGACTCTGCATCCTTCCCAGTCCTAATTTGCCCGCAGGGAATAACCTAGCTAATTGCAGGAGGGCTTTGCCAGGCCCACATCTCCTGGCATCAGAATCCCACATGTTCATGGGCAAGTGATTTTGCTTTTCTGAGCCTCAAGGTCTCAGTTCATAAAATGGGTGCGGCCAATTGAACAATGACCTCTCCCCCCCGCCCCCCCAAAATATCCAGGTTCCAATTCCTGACCCTGTGAATGTGACTTTCTTTCTATGGCAAAGGGACTTTGCGCCATGACTGAGGCATTTAGGTGGGGAGGTTACACTGGTTTAACCCAGTGGAGAGCCCAGTGTAATCCTAAAGGGCCTGGTGAGAGGAAGGTGGAAGGAGAGGTGACACAGAAGAGGAAAAGAGCTGTAGGGATGGGGCAGAGGCTGGAGGGCCAGGCTTTGAAAGTGCAGGGACCACGAGCCAGGAGATCCAGGCCTCTAGAAGTTGAAGACGGCAAGGAAATGGAGAAATCGGCCCTGCTGACTTAGGCACGGCAAGACTGACTGCGCACTTCTCACCTGCCTTTGTCGGAGAATAAATTTGTGTTGTCAGCTGTGAGTTGGTGGAAATTCCTTACAGCAGTCACCAGAAATGGATGCAGTGGGGATCGTGCTACTTGCCTCTCAAGAATTTGGGATGCTGTGTGTGAGCTCTGGCCCCAGGTTCAGAGGCAGCCCAAGGGTGATGGCAGATGGTGCGGACGAAAGAGGCCTGTGGCCCTATGGACACACCTTGTCCAGGCCCAGATCCTTGTGCATCTATTCTGAATAGAGAGGTTTTCCTCTACCCCGGCTTGCTGTGTGAGTTTCAGGCCAGTCACTCACTGACTATGAACTTGGGCAGGTGGTCATTGACCTGCCTTGACCCAGCCATCTCCCTGCTTGGTCCAACCTTAAGGAACAGAAGGCTCTAGCAGTGCTGCCCAGAGCTCCAAGTTTGTATTCTCAAAAGGTAGGAAAATTAATTTCCAGAAGTTTTGCTTCTGGAATTCCTGGTCCTGATTCTGGCCCATTGTGGGTGAGGGTCCCCCTCCCAGTGGAATTTTAAACCTAAAAAAAAAAAATTCCTTTTCAAGTGGGCACAGATAAGGGAAAATTGCTTGCCCAAAGTTGCATAGCTAGTAAGTGGTGGTCAAATTTGGACCCACAGTTGTCTGAGGTCCGCAACATACAACCCCGGACAAGCATGTGTCCTGGTGTTTCTGGAAGGGACCCAATAGCTTGGCTAAGACAGCTTTGAATATTAAGGGAGGGAGGTGACAGAGGTTGATCATGGCCACATGATCTGTGGCACCAACATCTGGGCAACATCAGAACTGGGGTGGGGTGGCACAGCGAGATTCTCAGGGTCTGCTGCTAAAAGAAGAGGAAGGCAGGAAGAGGGTGAGGTTTTCTAGACTAATCAAGCAAGTGCCAAGTTGGCCTTCAAGTAATACAGAACCCCTTCTGCTTAGTAGGAAGAGGGTTAAGGGGTAGAGTAACCCAATGTGGGGAGTACAAGGATAGAGAAGGGGGCACAGATCAAAGTTCGACACCCAGGATCAAATTCCACTTTACTCTGCCTTAGCTGTGTGACCTTGATAAGTCACTTAACCTCTCTGAGCTTCAGTTTCCCCATCTTTAAATGGGTAACATAGTATTAATTTAAATTGCCGGCTGTGCCTCTGGCACAGAGGAGGCCTTTACTGCATAGAAGCTGTTACTATGACTACTGTTGTGTGTGTGTGTGGAGTAACCTGCAACCTGGGGAACCGGGAAGAGGTTTTTTCCAAGAAGAGAAAGAACTGGGCTGTAACATGCTGGGTAAGGGTCTGGTCGCAAGTCACTTCCTCTCTCAGGCTGATGAAACCCCTGTGAATTGGATTGTGGAGGGGCTCTTTGAATTAGTGGCATGATTTATTTCTTATGGACTTAGTGCAATGCTTACTCACTACTTTCTTTTTTCTAAGATTCATTTATTTATGCATTCGAGCACCGGGGTACAGGTCAGAGGTGTGGAGGGTGAGAGGATTCACCAGAGAGAGTAGGGAACAGAACAGGCAGACTGACCAAAATTCACTGCTGAGGGGAGCAGGGGGTGAGACAGGAGAGGTCTGCTGCACCAGTGGGCAGCTCCCTGGTGGCAGATTGACTCGTGCTGCAGTGGCTGCGGATAGCTTCATAGGTTGCATCTCAACCCCCTGCGCCACCAGGGAGGCCCCTATTCACCACTTTCAACAACCCTGTGAGCCAGGAGTAGTGAGTCCCCCTTGCCTGAAGTCCAATGGCAGAACTGGGGTGAGATCCTTGGCCAGTGTGACACCTTATACCGCTGTCCTTCGCTATCCTGCCCGCTGCACTGTCAGTGGACAAAGGGTTATTTTTGTTGTGTATTCACTGCAGGAACTTGGACCAGTTCTTGTTTCTCTCTGACCCTGGGTGTCCCTGTTTGTCAAACGGTGGGTTGGACTAGAATCAACTTGGGGAGTGATGATAATACGTATTTCATAGGAAAGGATGGAATCTAAGAGTTTACGACAGTGCCTAATGCTTCAGCGCTCGCGTTTATTGCTACAGTGATGAAGCGGTCCGGTTCAGCTATGAAAGTTGGTGATTTCTTGCTTCCTGTGGCTCTGTGCCACGGTGTCTTAACACTTAACACAGAGTCTTAAGACACTTAACAAGTGTCCTAACTCCGGGCCTCAGTCAACAGTCTGCACCGCATGCACTAGAGCAGAGAGCTGCAGCCTCAGCTTTGAGAGTCGCAGTCGGGGAGTCGGGTCTAAATCCTTGGGGGGCGGGCCGCAGGAGACCTCTTCTCTGCTATTGGTGGAACTTCCCGAGGCGCCCCGCCCGCCACAGGCCAGTCTTGGGGACTAAGGCAAAGCGTCGCCGCCCCGCCCCAAGCGCCGATTGGAGGCCTTTGTTTGCCGCTCAACTCCAGGAAACCACCGCGCGCGGCGCCGGCAGGTGAGGCGTGGGGAGGGGCTCGCGGTGGGTCCTGGGCTGATCCCAGCCCCGCGCTGGGTCTCAGTTTCTCCGCCGGGGGAATGGGGAGGCGAGTGGACAACGCCGATGCGTTCCGGTCCACCAGGTGGGCGTTGCTTTCGTTCGCTCACACGTGGGAGCCCCACGCGCTCTGGAAGTGGACAGATCGGCCCGCGGGGCACGGGAAGGAACAGTGGACCCGCCAGCAGGGCAGCTCAAACCCCGGCGGCGAGGGGCTCCGCCCTGCTCGCCCTCCAGCCTCAGTCTCCACCTCCACACAATGGGGGCGTTGGCTTTTTTCTCCCGGTCTCGGGGCTGGAGCTGGTCGCTGGGTGGAGAGGAGTCCCCAGGGAAGCCGGGGGTGGTCCTTGGCGGGGCCTCGGGCTGTGTTTGACTGGAGGCGTGGCCGGAGTAGCTGTGGTTACCCGGGAGGTGGGACTTCGCCGTCCTGGGATTTGTGTGAGATTCGCTCACCCGGCAACAATCCGCGCAGCCTGACGACTTGGAGCCTCTCGGAGCCGTGCGCCCTCCCCAGACGCAAAACGCAAGTTTCTTTTCCTCTTTTTGGTAGGGGGAGGGGTGGGAAGCTAGGGCCAGCGTGGGGAAGGACAGCTGCAGCGGTGGCAGGAAAGGAACGGACTTTGCTGTAATAAGACCAGTTCCGTCTTTGTATACAGATGGGAAGACTGAGGACCAGAGAGGGGGCGCGGGTTGCCCAAGGGTGCACAGCAGGGAAGCGCAGAACTGGCCTCACCACATTGTGATGGGGCTGACACTGGCAGGGCCGAGCCTACTTATGATGCCGACTTTGGAGGAAACTCTTCCCTGCTCCTTTCTTCGGCGTTTGTTGAAAGAAATGACTGGTAGAATGGTCATAGCTACGTTGAAATCCTGCTTCTGGGTGAGAAAGTTGGAAAGATTAGTTGCTGATAACAAAGCTGCCCTGCTTTGGGCTTGTGAAGAGAAGTTGAGACAGGGTACAGTGAAAGGAGACATTGTTCCCGTCCTCTGGAACAGAATGAGAAGAAAAGGCTGAAACTGAAGCATGAAAGACTGAGGTTAGACACATGCAGGGACTTCCCAAAAGAATTTTCC